ATAAAAATATGATTTTGATGATTTTTATATGAAGGTTTTGCTTCATATTTGATGATTGTGGTTTCCTTTGATTTGATTGGATTGACCCCTCAATGTCTAAGATAAAACAATCAATAATATTTCTCCATTCGACCTCAATGTAGAAGACAATGCCCTTAATAGATATGTTTTACAGGTCCCTCATATCCATAACAAAAAATATACGATTCTTGTTAGATTCAACCGACTGGATTATAGTGGCTCTATTGATACACTAGAAAGAACCTGTTTTCTACCATGACACAAATTTTGTCACTCCATGAATAAAGTTGTATTTCGATCGTCATGGCTCAACAATTAATCCATTAATTACCATCATCCATACTTGCAATCGACAAATTTTTCCGCCCATCTTTCATTAATTGTGAAGCTACTCATTAGATTTTATATTAATTGAGTATAATAATATTTGTTTAATTATCCCCGTTATATAATCTCTCTGTTTCGTTTTAAATGTCGTTGTAGGGTGTCAACTTTTTTGCAAATTAATTGTCGTTGGAAATATTATATTCATTCTTACATCTTTATTCTCTTTAACAAACATTATCTCTTATCATTATCTTTAAAAACCACCCATTAATAATTCAAAAACTAAATTTAATAAGATTAAAAAATAAGATTATTACACAACCCATTAAAATCGTAATTTAGAAGTTTTAAATTAAAACGACATTTAATAAGAAACGGAGGGAGTATAATTTAAAAATGCGTTGAGCCTACATGGCAAACTCTCATGTTTCAGAATTCTATTTGACAAAAAATCATGCTTTGGAGTTACACTTTGATATAAATTAATATTTTTTATCATAATAATATATTCCTTCCAAAGTAGTTACAATGCGGAATTTCATGCCTTAAAATTAGAAACATATTTATCATAATAAAATATTCCTTAAATTCATTAATCTCGAATGTTTTGCTCCGCATTCTCGAGTTTGACCTAAGTAATCTTCAAATATATAATATTTAATTGTAGCAAACTAGCAATAAATTAACCTATTATTGTTTATGTATCTAAGTTCGTGAGTACTTTTTAAATAATGCTTAATTATTAAATGTTTCAAATTCTCAAATAAGACATAGCTTTCGAAATATAAATATTTGGCATTTGAGACTTGTCGGGTATGGAAGATCAATAAAATAATACTTTTAGCAAATAAAAAAAATATTATAATTAATCAGACCAGACTCAGATTATCTTTTAACGATTTTTTATTTAACATCCATATTATATATATAGAATACAAAACAGTAATAAAAATTGGTATATATTTTTTAAAAAATGATATTTATTTCAAATCTAATTGGTATGTTGTCAATCTAATAAAAATAAATAATTATTTATTTAAATTCTAAAATTACATATAAAGTTAAAAAACTGTGAAGTACGACTGATACGACACTTAATGTATTAGGCATCTAATTAAGTAAAAAAATTAATCTATTTTGCTTAATATTAAATAAACATATTCTACACTTATATATATACATATCACTATATTATTTCTATTTATTTAAGATACATATTTTTGTACTTATGTAATAGTAAATAATATCATTATTTTTATATAATATAAGTAAAAAAATTAAACACGAGTTGACATTTTCATTTAATGTACGGGTGTTTAATTATTATGATTAAAAAAATATAATTTGAAAATTTAATTAAAATCTAAAGTAATGTTTTATATAAAATTAAATTATTTTAGTATTAAAAAAAATAAAAAATTTAATATATTTTGATAAAAGCTTTCTAATTCAACACCCGTGTAATACACGGGAATTATACTAGTTTTATATTAATTGAGTATAATAATATTTGTTTAACTATTCTATCATATAATAATCTAATATTAACTACTTATAAATTCACATCTAAATTACTGAATTTAAAATAAATATAATTCTTTTATATTCATCTCATTAAATAATTTTTAAATAACTATTTGGTTATAATGGCATAACAAACCCTTTCAATTTGCATGAACAAATGCTATAATAATAATATTAATATTTATCAACTTATTGAATGTACTGATCAAATTAATTAGCACAATCCGTTATTTGATATTAGCTAATAGGTTATATGTTCAATTACGAATTGAATTACTCAATCAAATTGATTAACACAACAGTTATAGTTATTTGACATGGGCTAATATAATCTATTATCAGTAAATAGTTGATTAATTATGCTATAATAAGCTATATACAAAACATTTTTTACTCGTCAATGGATATACATTGAAGTTCTGACGATAGTTCCACCAGACGTGTCTGGAATTGTCCCTGGAAAACTGTAGTACTATACCTGATTAACTTAGTGCCATCTTTCATCTTCTCAAAACTTCCAACCAAAAAATGGCCTATAAATAGCACCAAAGTACTCAATTCTGAAACCATCCCCCACCTGCAAAAGTAAGTTCCTTTTCTTTGTCTACTTACCATCACCTTATACATTTTAATCAAACAAAATCTATCTCTAACCAATGGCAGATGATGAATTGGTTCTTCTGGACCTGTGGAGCAGCCCATTTGCCATGAGAGTGAGAATAGCTCTAAGAGAGAAAGGCCTGGAGTTCGAGTCCCTTGAACAGGACTTGAGCAACAAAAGCCCACTACTTCTCAAAATGAACCCAGTTCACAAACAAATACCCGTCCTCATCCACAACGGCAAGCCCGTGTCCGAGTCCATGATAATCGTTCAATACATAGATGATGTCTGGAAAGACAGAGCTCCTTTGCTGCCTTCCGACCCTTATGGGCGGGCCCACGCAAGGTTTTGGGCCGACTACATCGATAAGAAGGTACACAATTGGCTCTCCTAGCTAGCCCAATTAATTAATGGACCGAAAAAGTAATAGTGTTGTTACATATGGACAGGTATATGGTAGTGGAAGATTGGTGTGGGGCGCTACAGGGGAAAAGCAGGAAGTGGGAAAGAAAGAATTGATCGAGAGCTTCAAATTGCTGGAGTTGGAGCTTGGTGATAAGCCTTACTTTGGTGGCGAAAACTTTGGGCTTGTGGATGTGGGCCTCGTACCGTTTTATAGCTGGTTTTACGCGCTTGAGACTTGTGGGCAGTTCAGTTTGATTCATGAGTGTCCAAGGCTTGTTTCTTGGGCTAAGAGATGCTTGCAGAGGGAGAGCGTGTCCAAGTCTCTGCCTGATCAGTACAAGATATTTGATTTTCTGATGGACCTCAAAAAGAAGTTTGAAGCTCAGGGGAAAATCTGATTTGGCCCTAATACCTCTACTTATCACTCAAATGCTTCTGTTCTTGTAATTTTTTTTTTTTTTTTTTTTCAGCAATCTTAAATCTATATTATAATACAGAATGTTTAATATGGTATTTTTTCGTTCTCTTTCGTTTAAATTTTTGACATGATGAGGGGTAGTATTTGTCCGCCAGGTTTATGTATTAAAGATGTATTTAAGATGTTAAAGAAGGATTTGAAGATAATAATATATAGTGATGAGATTCTGACAATATGATTACTTGTATATAAAGAAATTTTAATAACATTTGGAATTTTTTTCTTAATTCATAATTTTGTATTTTTCTTTTATTATTTTCTCTTTTAAAAATTCAGCTTTATTATTATTATTTTCTCTTTTCAAAATTTGTCAAAGGACGATAAGGAAAAACAAAAACAAGAATATTAAACCTACTCAAATAAGCATTCTATGTTCTTAATGTGCTGGCATCTCATTGAATGGGTGAACGTAACCACATTTTTTTTCCAATAAAAGCAAACAATTATGAGCATGTTTGTTAGCCAAGATTGGATGAGATTGCACCTTTAATCTGGCAAAAAAAGTTTGTTTGTTTCATTAGATTGTGGCCCGAGATAAAGGTGATGGCCCGAGATCAAATTAAATGGCATTTATCGGCTGTTTTCAAGATTATTTCATCCAGGCTAGATTCCCAAGATTGCTGAAATCGGCACAGTAATTTCTTTCTCAAAAGACCTTTTTATCTCTGTTTTTTTAACATTTCGGACACTCACACCCTTGAATGGTTGAATAACTACTCAATTGCCATTTCACTTTCTTTCTTGGCTAATCGTTCAACTACCAGAGGATTGCTAAAATCTCTGATGAGAAATTCGTTCTTAAAAACATAGGTCGTACGTGGTTGAGAAGGCCGGTGATGGAGTTGACGGTGCCGAGGGCGACGTGGTCGGGATAGAGCTCAGGGACGCCTGCGAGGATCTTGAGCTTCAGGATCTCTTCGTGGAGCTCGAGCTCGGAGTCGGCGAATTTGTCCTGGTTTCCAGTGTACCTGGGATTTGTCTGAGTGCTTCGAGGAGGAAGAAGGTCCACTAGGACTAGGTCGCCGTTTCGTTAGCCATTGCGTTTCTGATCAAATATTGAGGATGAAAGTGGTCAATGGGCCTTCGTAGCGTGATATATGAAAGTTGGCGCAATATACATCATTTTATTTCCAAACAAAAATAAACTGTATAGAGAAAATTACTCCATTCATGTATAAGTTTTTTATTTTGATTGCATATGTTTTGTTAGTATCTATAAATAATTGATTTTTAGTTTATCTTTATTATTAATTTCTAACTTGCATAAACTATATAGAGAAAATTACACCATTGATTTTTTAATATTTTTTTAGATATTTTAATTTATTTAGTCGTTTATAAATAATTTATTTGCGACTTGAAAGGGAAAAAAATCACGTGACACACCATCAGTAACACATTGAATACAAATCCATGCAACTTATCCCACAGTTTCTTTGTTTTTATTTGGGTTCTTAGTTTCTTTGTTTTTATTGGGGTGTATATTGCATGGCTATTAATTTTTAATTTGTTATAACTTATTTTTGTATCTTCCATATCTTCCTATGATTTTGAACAGGTGAAAGCACCTTCATGAAATACATTTCGGATGCTTCATAAAAAAAATCATATTATTAGAAAATGAATAAAAATCCAACAAAGAGAAAAAAAAAGCGNAAAAATTATAAATAAAACAAAACTTAAGATTTAGAAAAAAATCGGTTAAAAAAACACCATTATCGATATTATGTAGGAGATGAAGTGGTAGTAAAAAGGGATAAAAGATCATGTACACAAAAATTAAATTACATAGTTTATTTAAAGGGCAAATAAGTAAATGAAGCATTAATCTTATCAATTATCCAATGCAACAAATAACAAACTATTATATCTTACCATGCTTATCTTGTGTCAATCTTGTACAACAAACTAAGGCATGTATCTTATCTCTACAAGACAATCTTATTAGATAAGATAAAATTAATCTAGTCTCGTCTTCCTTAACAAACGAGCTTAATATGATTCTTGTACTATAATCCCCACATAGAGATTCTAACAGCTAATTCAGCTTAGTAAAATACGATTTATTAAACACAATAAATAATGGCCAAATAATATTTCCAACCACACACGAATTTGGGGAGTGGTGATGCAATTCTGAATTTCTGATTGCCTAAATGAACAATATTGACAATGGGATTTATTACAATTACTATAAACATAAGAACACATTTTTTCAGTTTCTTTGTAATTATTATAATTCCTGTTATAAAATGTTTTTAACTTGGAAATTTCATCAATTAAACATTTTCTTAGGAGAAATATTAATGGGTTATATAAATATATGTAATCCAAGCTCATTAGGGAATAGTGCAGCGGAAATGCTAAAGAGCCATCCGATGGTTCCGTTATGGAGCCATCAGATCCCCTCACTCAGAACTTCACAATATATTATCAACTCACCACAATATCTTAATACAAATTATCTATGTTTCATAGATCAAAATTTTCATCAATTTTGTACGCATAATAATTATGATAGAGTTATCAACATGTCGAGCCGATTTATTATGCTCAAAATCCGGGCTCAAATCTATATATATATATATAATTACTAGCTAATAGCATTTAATAAAACCTATTTAATTTTACCTATGTGGCAATTTAACAATTTTTCCTCCAAAAACCGTTACATTTTGATGTATTTAATCTTTCATTTAATCATTAAATAATTAATACTCATCACTTCAAAATTACAAAAATCTTTTTAAACTTTTAATTAATGACAGTTGACCATATAATGTGTTGACCGTATAATGTGATTAGATGTTATTATTGTTGTTACATTTAATTTTTTTTTTTGAAAATATAAAATATATTTGAAATTCCTAAATAAATAATAAATAATTCACAAATAAAAGACGTACCAAAATATAGATTACATCCAATCAGATAAACGCAATTTAAAAGAAAATATTCCAACTCTTTTAATTGTAAATTTGATCTGCAAAAAAGTGAAAGAAAAATAATTAATCATTATATGCATACAGACTCACAATAATTTATTTATATCTGTACAAATACACAGGTCGAATACTAGTTAGTATCGAATTGAGTTAGTCGAACTCACATGTAAACTAATTTTGTGGATAAATAGGTTTGAGCTCAACAATAAATTAACAGTCTTGTTCGAACTTTAACAAATCGAACCAAAATAGTATTTTAGAAAATCACGTAAATAATCTTATATACTTTTATAATTCATTTTTCTTTTCTTAATACAATTAATATAATTTGAGATGAATGCATTTTTCTATTTTTTTTTTAACTTGATATTTTTTTATTTGTTAATCAACTTCGACTTTTTATTTGATATGCATATTTTAAGTGTAGATAAAAAATTAATAATATGTATATCTGATAAGACAAAAATTAAAACTTATCTATCGATGCTAAATTGATAATAATTTTTAATAATAATTATATTTTTTGTCATCTATTAAAAAATATTTATCTTAAATATTTTTTTAAAAAAAAAAAAAAACTCCACCTAAAACTTTAATTTTTACTAAATCTGGATTTTTGTAAAAAAAATATTCCGTCTTTGAAAAATATGTAATTTAAGTTTGAAATTTAAATAATGTGAGTGAGTCATCTCCACGTGTGATTAGTTTTTAAAATAACATGGTGCATTATTTTATACAGATTTCGTATTATCTACATTCTTGAAATCATACGAAACTCCGAATTGTGTGGACTCTTGAAATCATCTTCGGTAGATAATGATTCCGTCTATTTTATTTTCATGAAATAAATGATGCAATAAAAAAAATTTGTGTAGATACAAAATTGTTATAATTACATGTAGAAAACGAGCAAATATGAAACAAATAATAAAACAAATAATAAAAGCATATTTAAGAAGTAATTACATCATGTTTGTGACTTATGAGACACGAACACATAACTCCATACATATTTGCCAGAAAGCTGCTTAATAATTTTCATAGATTGTTCAAAGCTGTAATTAATCAACAAATCGTGGAATAAATAAGATAAACGTCAAAAACTCATAAAGGCTCAAAAATAATATGAAAAACTTTTATGTTTGTTTAGATTAACAACATTGATCCAACAAATCCGTCTTTCCTGTTTGGTCAAAATAATAATCAAACTTTATAAATCAATCAGCAAAATGTTTGGTCAAATTAATAATCAAACTTTATACAAGCAAATGAAAATCAGTCTCAATATAGAGTATGTTATAAATCAATTCACACGGTTAAATTTGTGTAATCGATGTGTATATGAGTGGATAAAAAAAATCCATTTACATGCTATATCACTTCTTTTCTATTTGCAACCACCATTCTAGCTAGAAGATAGAGGTTACTCGTTATCCTTATTAGTCTGTGAAAAATGTAAAATATACGCTCGTATATATAATAATTCTATCCACGGTCGGTGGCGGTAATATGAAAACTTGTGAGGCAGTCATGATTAAAATTTAGGGTTAGTATTTAGGGTTGGTGTGAGATATAATGGATGGTTACGATTAAGAATTGTAGAGTAGAGTGTTTTATTTGAACAACGGTATTTAATTAAAAATTGAGTTACTGTTATATATATGATTACAAATATTTTTAGTTATTGTCATATCTGGATATTTTAATTAAAAATTTCAAGTTATGGTCGTTATAATTAAACTGTGCACATAACATTTAGAAATTTTTATATATATAAATAATTAACCAATAAAAATACCTTGTTGTCAATATTTTGATATAATATTTTGGTGGGTGAGTAGTTAATAAAGAATGAATAATACGTACATATAATTGTATTGTATTGGTGATCAATTCAATCTCATGGTTTTAGTTGTCCTTCCCAGATATTTTACAAAAGTATTATTTTTAAAAGCATTGGATTAAAAAGGCAAACTAACCTTTTGATAATTTCAACCTAACAAACAATTAGTACAGTATTTCTACAATATTAATTCGCAAAACATTCCAAGAAACTTTAAAGTAATTATCACAACTTTTATAAATTTTGCTGAGACCCTATATCAAAAACAATCTACATGGCACAAATAAGGACATGTTAGACATGTCTAGTTATTATTATTTTTTTATATTTTATTCGTCACGTTGGAAATATAACTAACTTGTTTTGTTTTGTTTTTTAGTACGCATTAATCAAAGAACACATTATTACAATAAAATTAATAAATTATGCATTATGTAACTAAATAATTTAAAATACAATTTATCATACACTGTATTAATTATTTAATTAAAAGTAACATTAGGTTATTAGTATTAACAAATTACATAAGTAAATAACACAAAATACAATTTATCATACACAGAATTCAAATATTATGAAATGTGCAAAAGAGATTTATGATAAAATGAGAATGAGTTTGAGACTGAAAGTTGCATAAAACATGATATAAATACCATCAATATCTGAAAACTTGAATGAATAAACTAATAATAGATATATCTGTATGATACTCGTACAAATATGGAAAATAATTATGATGAATGAAATATATGGGAAATGCTACGGTACCGTTACGGAACCATTCCGTCGAGGTTTGTAACCGTCAGATCATCATCTAACTGTCGGGGATAGTTGATCTAACGGTTACAAACCCCGACGGAATGGTTCCATAACGGGGCCATAGCATCTCCATGAAATATATATAGAATAGTACAATACGCCTTGTATTCTTTTTTTCCTGGTTGAGGTTTTGTCTCATTGGGGTTTCCCAACAAGATTTTTAATGAGGCAACAAATGTTTTCACATAAATAATGTATTCTTTTTTCGTTCATTAGCATTTTGTCCTCGGGTTTCCAATAAGATTTTAACAAGGCATATTCATGGTATAATGAGAAACAAGTGAAATTGATATCGTTCCTCATATCGACAATGGAATAATTACACTCTTTTTTCTCCGATCAAGTTTTTGTCTCACAAGGTTTTTTTAACAAGATTTTAATGAGACAACACATGGATACTCCACT